CCCGGCCACGCCCCCCGGCCACGCCCCCGAGCCAATCGCCGGCCGGTACCGCCGGCGCGCGCCGCGCCCGCCCCCGCGCCGCGATTGCCACCCGCTCCCGCCAATGGCGGCCCGGCGCTACCCGCGGCTCAGCCAATAGGAAGGTGAGGCCGGAGTTCTGCCCCGCCCACCCCCCGGGGGAGAGCTTGGTTCCCTCCCGGCCGGGCGGCGGTTGCCTTGGGAACGGACGGGGCCACCCCGCCGCGGGGCACGCCGGGAATTGTAGTGCGGAGCGGCGCTCCCGGCGTGCCCCGCGTGCTGTGAGTTGGCATTTTCAAGCGGGTGAAGGGGCGGCGGGGGCAGGGCGGCTCCGAAGGGGCTCGACCCTTCCGCGGGCCCCGGACGGGGCGTGGCGCTGCCGCGGGCACGGCCCGGCCGCCCCCGCCCGCCCTCGGGCGGCGCCTCCCAGTGCCGGGGCTGGTGACACAGCCCCGATTCCGAGAAGTTGCTCTAAGTCCTCGACCAATCAGAAGTGAGCGCTCTCCGCGAGCACCAATGGGCGGGCGCGGGGGGCGTGGCCGCAAGAACTCGGCTGACCCCGATGACTTGGCAGCGCCGCGCGATGACTGGACAACTTCTTTAAAGGGGCCGCGCCCGCCGCGGGTGCCGGCGGGGGAGAGCGCAGCGGAGCGGCGGCCCGGCCCGGCCCGACCACAAGCGCTCGCCCACTGCCCCGCCGGCACTCCCGGCGCTGCCGCTGCCGCCCCGCGGGGCGAGGCTCTGAGCTGCGCTGCCCCTTTAAGGCCGTTTCCTGCCCTTCGTCCCAGTAACAGCTGATTGCAGCGGGCCGGGGCAGGGGGGCCAATCAGCGGCCGCCACGTCCCACCCACGTGACTCCCACGCGCCGCCGCGCCATGCGGCGCTGCCCGGCGGGAGCCCCCGGTGCCCTTAAAGGAGCCGCGCGCGGTCCGGCCGCCCGTGGCTGTCGTGACCGTGTGTCCCGTGGGTACCGCCGGTACCGGAACCCCGGCATCACTCTGTCGGCGGCGGGAGGACCCGGCTCGGCTCACGGGCACCGGGGCCGGGCAGCTCCCGTAGCGTGCGGTGCCTCGCGGGGCAGAGGGCGGCAGGATCCCGGGGCGGCGGGGCTGGAGCGGCCCCGCTTCCCCACGCCGGCTGTCCCGGGCACTCACCTGCCGCCGGTAGGGTCCGCCCTCAGCGGGTGAGGACCCCTTTAAGACCGGCTGCCTCGTCAGCGCGGCTCGCCCGGCTCCAGCTGACAGCCCGGGGCGCCTCTGACGTCACGGTGACGTCACGCCCCGCCGCTGCCCATGCCCGGCCCCCCCGCCCCGCGGCCGCTGGAGGGAGCCCGGGCCCGGCCCCGNCGGCTGAGCCGCCGCTGCCGCCAGGTAACGCGGGGCCGCCGGGGCGGTGAGGGACCCCACGGGGGGGATGAGGGCTCCTCGGAGCCGCGGGGCTCAGCCCGGCTCTGCGGTGCCTCCGCCGGTAGCGAGGGCCCCGACGGGCCGGGGCCGCCTGACCGGCCGTGGCCGTGCTCGGGCTGGTCCGTGCTCGGTGCTGGGAGCATCGCCTGGGTCGCCCCCGCGGCCGCTCTCCGCTCCCTGCAGAGGTCCCGTTGTGTCCCCAGCACCGGGGTTATGCTGGAGATGCCCTCGTGTACCCCCTCCAGCTGCGGAGCTGCCGCTGCGCCCCCAGTGCCAGCCCTGCGGCTGCAGATGTCCCCCCCACATCCCACCCTGGTCCTTTTCACTTCTTGGGGCTGTCAATGTCCCATTGTGTCCCTCAAGCCTGGCTGAAGAGGTGCCATCGCGTCCCGCTCCCCGGCTGTGGCTGTTCCATTGTGTGTCCCCCCAGCAACCCTGGGCCTGCAGAACTCCTGTCATGTCCCTTCCTCCAGCGCTTGGATGTGCCAGTCCCCATCGTGTCCCCGCCATGCGGCTGTGGGAGCCCCGCCATGTCACCCTGCCAGGCTGCACAGGTCCCACCTTGTCCCTCACAGCCAGGGCTGGTCCCATCTCAACCCCCACGCACAGACCAAGCTCCTCACGCCACCTTTTTTTTTTTTTTACCCGAGTGCCGATGGGGAAGTGAGACTTGCTGCTCGCTGGGGCGGCCAGGGTGGTTCTGTGCTCTGCTCCCTCACTGCCCGTCTGGGCCACCTTTCTCCCAGCAGAATCCAGCATGGAAAGCTTCCTGCAGAGCGTGGAGAAGGACCTGAACATCGACCGCCGGCAGCTGGCCCCCGAGAGGACCCACGTCACCGCCTTGGTGCCGGCCAAATGGCTGCAGAGCCTCAAGGAGCGCCGGCTGCTGCCGCCGGCCTGCCCGCGGCCCGAGGGGCTGAGCGAGGTGGAGCTCAGGACCTTCCTGCAGCACTCGGTGCAGAAACTCCCGGCGGGCTGGACACGGGTGGAGATCCACGGGCTGAGGAAGGCCCGGCTGGGGTACCCGCTGCTGCGGGCGCAGCCTCCTGAGCAGCAGCGTGGCAGCGTGGACACCCTGCACGGCTTCATGCAGAGCGTGGCCGCCCAGAACTACCACAACCTGTGGGGCCGGGCTCACGGGATGTACGCGCGGCCCTACCGGCGCCCGGACGCGCCGCCCACGGTGCCGGCGCTGGACGCGCTGAGGGCTGCCCTGCACAGAGCCTACGGCTGCCCCGTGCTCCAGGTGGGCAGGAACGTGCCTGGCACGTCCCCCGCCAAGGAGAGCGTGGCCAAAGGGGTGTCCTTGTGCCCCAACGTGCTGCAGGCTGAGGCGCTGCTGGAGTCGGCGGACATGCTGTACGTCGTCTACCCCTATGTGCAGTACTGCCTGCACGACGTCGTGACCTTCAGCCCGGCCAAGCTCACCAACAGCCACGCCAAGATCCTCTTCCTCCTCTTCCACGTGCTGCAGGCCATGAAGGCTTGTCACCAGGCGGGTCTGGCTTGTGGAGATTTCTCCCTTCGGGACGTGGCTGTGGATGAGAAGCTGTGCAGCCGGCTGCGTGTGAACTTCAGGGGGTACGAGGGACCGGGGGAGGAGGAGGAGAATCTGGAAGGAGAGAGCAAGCAAAGCTGCGTGCAAAGGCAGGAGGGGACGTGCAGTGCCTGCCAGAAGGACCTCCGAGACCTGGTGTTGCAGTGGGTGCACGGGCAGGTCAGCAACTTCGACTACCTTATGCGTCTGAACAGCCTGGCTGGGAGGAGAATGGGAGACCCCAATTACCACCCGGTTCTTCCGTGGGTGGTGGACTTCACTACCAAAAACGGCAAGTTCAGGGACCTAAGGAAATCCAAGTTCCGTCTCAACAAGGGGGACAAGCAGCTGGACTTCACCTACGAGATGACCAAGCAGGCGTTTGTTGCGGGGGGCTCGAGTGGGGAGCAGCTCCACGTCCCCCATCACATCTCGGATGTCCTCTCAGATATCACCTACTACGTGTACACGGCCCGCAGGACACCCAAGGCAGTGCTGTGCTGCCACGTGAGGTCCCAGTGGGAGCCCAACGAGTACCCAGCCAGCATGGAGCGCATGCAGAGCTGGACACCTGACGAGTGCATCCCAGAGTTTTACACAGACCCTTCCATCTTCCGCTCCATCCACCCCGACATGCCCGACCTGGATGTGCCGTCGTGGTGCAGCTCCTACGAGGAGTTCATCGAAGTTCACCGCATGCTGCTGGAGAGCCGGGAGGTCTCCCAGGACCTGCACCACTGGATTGACCTCACGTTTGGCTACAAGCTGCTGGGGAAGGATGCAGTCAAGGAGAAGAACGTCTGCCTCCACTTGGTTGACAACCACACGCACCTGACCACCTACGGGGTCGTGCAGCTCTTTGACCAGCCCCATCCCAGGCGCATGGTGGGACCTGCCTACACTCCTGCTGAAGCTCCAGCCATTGCCCGGCCTCTGCTCCAGAACATCCGGGAGACCGTGGTTTTGGAGGACATCCAAGGCCAGGTGACAGATGCAGTCAATGGCCTGGTCCTGGAGGCTACTCCCAGTGAAATCACCTTGTCTGGGGAGAAACCCATGGCTGGTGAGGATGATTTGGAGCAAGGCACGGAAGCCCTGGATTCCATTTCTGCTCCTGGGAGAGCCCCTGACCAGCCCTGTGCCACTGTGCCTCCAGCACAGCCCTCCACCCTCCCTGCTTATGTCACCGAGGGCAAATCCTCAGGGGTCCGGCCGCTCCGTCGGAGCAAGGCAGGGGCTGTGGATCAGCTCGACATGAAGATCACGCTTCCTGAAGGCTTCAACCCACTCCAGGCCCTGGAGGAACTGGAGAAACTGGACAATTTCTTGGTTAAAGGCTTAAGCAGCGAGATGCAGCTGATGGAGCAGCCGTGGGAAGAGCCACCTTTGGGTCTCTCAGACCTCTTCCAGAGGGACATGCAGGCTCTGGGCATCCTGGTAGCTGAGATTATATTTGCACCGAGGCTTCGTCCCTCGAAGCCGGACGCGTCGCTGTTGGAGCGGTTCCTGATGGTGAGGAACCTCTGCCGTTACCATCCCAAGGAGATCCCGGCCCCGCTGCAGCACGTGCTGCACGTCCTGCTGCAGCTGAGCGTGCCCGTGGAGAAGCTGCTGAAGAGCAGGCTGGGCAAGGGCACGGTGCAGTTGTTTGAGTACAAACCTATCTCCCAGGGCCTTCCCCCTCCCTGTCCCACGCAGCTCCTCAGCCCCTTCAGCTCCATTGTCCCCTTCCCCACGTACTTCCCAGCTCTGCACAAGTTCATTTTCACCTATCAGGCAAAGAAGATAGAGGATGAAGGGCAAGGCCGGGAGCTTGTTTTCCAGCTGTGGCAGCAGCTGGAGGGGATCCTTGCTGAAATCACTCCTGAGGGCCTGGAGATTCTTCTGCCTTTCATATTATCACTGATGTCTGAGGAAAACACCGCTGTCTACGCAGCCTGGTACCTCTTTGAACCCATAGCTAAATCCCTCGGGCCCAAGAATGCCAATAAATACCTGCTGAAACCCCTGATCGGAGCCTACGAGACGCCCTGCTCCCGCCACGGCAGGTTCTACCTGTACACAGACTGCTTTGTGGCCCAGCTGATCGTGCGCCTGGGGCTGCAGTCCTTCCTCCTGAACCTGCTGCCCCACATCCTGCAGATCCTCGTGGGCATCGAGAGCTCGCGGGAGGAGAGCAAATCCTTCCTCGGCACCGCTGAGGACGATGAGAGCGGAGGGGAGAGCCCGGTGTCGTGTGTGTTTGGGGAGGAGATCAAGATGGACGTGGAGCACAGCTCTGCTGCGCTTGACCTCCTGGACTACACCTCTGGAGTCAGCTTCCGTGACCAGGCCTACCTGCCCGAGGGTGAGGACTTCCAGAGTGGCCTCTACGTTGGGGAATCCCTGCAGCCCCAGGAGCAGGAATCGCTCAGCCTCGGCCGGCTGAGTGACAAGAGCAGCGCCAGCGAGGTGTCCTTGGGCGAGGACAGACCTGCAGACGGGGACTCCCAGAAGGACAAGAGCAGCTTGAAGTCGATGGACAGCAGCCAGGACCTGAAGCAGAGCGAGGAGTCAGAGGAGGAGGAAGAGGAGCACGAGGAAGAGGAGCACGAGGACGCGGTGGTCGATGCGGAGCTGACGGTGGTCGTGGATGCTGCTGGGGCCTCTGTGGATGTCACCCTGGCTGATGACAGCAGCGAGCCAGAGGATGGGGAGGGAGAGGAGCTGCCGGATCACCCTGATGACAAAGAGCAGACCATACTGCTGGGTAAGACCCTGTCAGTGTCCAGGCTGTTGGGCAGAGCCTGGGGAGAAGCAGATGCAGATTTGGGGGTGTTTGTGGTCCCAGCTTGGGGGCAGTGATGAAACCAGGCTGAGAGACCAGGACTGCATGTGGCTCTGAGAGTCAGGGTTGGGGCAGCAGGGACTGCTAGACTGTTAGATAGCTAATCTGAGCCGTGCTGGGCGCTGTCCTTGGGACTGCTGTTGTTTTGCAGACACAGCCTGTAAGATGGTGAGGTGGCTCTCAGCCAAGCTGGGCCCGACCGTCACGTCCCGCTTCATCGCCAGGAACCTGCTCCGGCTGCTCACGTCCTGCTACGTCGGTAATGACGCCTCTCCCGGGGTCCAGGGTGGGCTGTGCCCCCAGTCTGTCTGCTTGGGTGTGGCTGCTGCTTCAGCTCGTGGTGTGTTGTTCTCTGGGCAGGCCCGACCAGGCAGCAGTTTGTACCGAGCAGCGATGAGAACAGTCCCCTGAGCACAGGAAATATCTACCAGAAGCGGCCCGTGCTGGGAGATCAGGTGTCCAAGGCTGTGCTGGCCTGCCTCGTGCACGTGGCATATTTGTATGGAGAGCCTGTCCTCACCTACCAGTACCTGCCCTACATCAGCTACCTGGTCAGTATTGCCTTTTTCTCCTCTCTGTTGGGGTAAGAGCTCTGTCCAGGCACAAAGGAAAGACGTAAAAAAAATAGTCCGGCCTCACCAGGAGCTTCTTTGTATAAACTGAGCTTGGCTGGGCTCTGTCTGGGCCAGTATGGGCTGAGCAGCTCTGGCTGTGTTGGCTGAGAAGGGCAGGAGAGGCACTTTCACCTCCTGCCACAAGCTCCAGACTGCTCCCAGCAAAGCACACTGCTGTGTTCATACACCTCTTTCCCTGTCAGACCTCGTGAAAGCGGAGAAAAAGCATTTATTCTGCTTTTCTGTGCCCAAACAGAGCTGGCACAAGGGTGGGATTGTGATAACAGGCAGGAGGAGCAGCTTGTGCTGCTGTGGGATTGCTGGAGAGAGTGTTCACAGAGGTCTGTGTGGGTAGATAGGGCTGAACTGGGGGGAGACCAACGGGTTTTCAACTGAATAAAAAGCACTGGCAAGGCTCACCAACTTTTCAGCTTGAAGTTCATAGCAAGAAGGAAATGTATAATGCAGCTGGTTGAAAAACTTAATTTTTCATTAAAAAGAAAAAGGGTTTGAATGTCTTAAACAGGCTTATTTTTCATATTGTTCCCTCTTTAGTGGTTGTAAACACTTTGGTTATGGATTCTTGTTTAAATGGAAAACTTCAGTAGGTTCTGATAATTTAAACATAGAGGAAAAGAGGCCACAGCTGTTCATTTAAAGAAAACAAAAAGGCATTGTCAGTTTTTCCAGTGTTGAAGGGGAGACTTTTCAGGGGAAAAAATCCCATTTTTCAGCAAAAATCATTCTCCACCCAGTTGCAATCATAGCTCCAGCTGTTGTGCTTTGCTTTCCTAAGCTCATTGCTTGGGGGCACAGAGGGGATTAAATACCCCTGTGAAACAGCATTTGGCAACCTGATACTGGCGGGTCACAAATAGGATAAAGTCAATCCTTCTTGCAGGATTTGGCAGGGTGGCTATTTTGTGAGAGGAAGAGCCTCTGTGATGAGCTGGAAGATGGCAGGTGTACAAGAAATATAGCAGGAACTGGGAATTGTCTGTGGGTTTTGTTACTGGCTCTCTTTTCTTGGGTGTTTGATTTGTCTGGGAGTTAGGAAATAGGACAGTCTAGAAAGAAATATTTTCGTGTTGCTGCTGATGTTATTAACTCTTTGGCACTGCCATAACAGCAGCAGTACATTGTCAGCAGAAAAAGGATGTGCAGTTCTGCCTCATGAAATTATTAGCAGCTGCATTTCTAGAAGTCAGCAGCAGGTTTGCCCATAATTTGTGCTTGGATATTTCATGCAAGGACTGTTCCTCTGCAGACTGTGGGATGAAGACACTGATTTTTGCTTTGAAGTTGTGCATATGTAAGAGTTTCCCCTCTCTCTGTGCTGGTAAATGATGTTCTGGGGTCTCCAGGGTGGTTTGGGCCAGCGTGGAGTTGTTGGTCTTGCTCCTGAGCTTCCTGTTTGTGGGAATGTTGTACTCTGCAGAGGAAATCTGTGAACTTCGGAGTGTCATTCCAGATTTTCTGCAGGCTCATCTCTTGTGCTGATGGGCGCCTGTCAGTTTTTGGACTCATCCCTTTGGACACATTTTTCTGTTGTGATTCAGTGCTCAGGCTCCTGTTCCAGGAGCTGTGGCCAGCAGTGCTGTGCTGGGTTCGAGGCTGAGCTCAGGTGGCCCTGGGGTCACCTTTGCTGTGTCCTGCTGGGAGGTGGTGGCCCTGGCACTGAAGGAGTCCCTGTCACAGGTCGCACCCGGCGGTGGCTCTGGCGGCGTCCGGCTGAACAGTCGGAAGGAGGCCGGGCTCCTGGCTGCTGTGACACTGACACAGAAGATTGTGGTGTGTCTGTCTGACACCACACTGATGGACATCCTGCCCAAGATCAGCCAGGAGGTGCTGCTCCCAGTGCTGGGCTTCCTCACTTCGCCAGCTGTCGGGTAAGTGCTGCGGGATTGGCACAAAATCAGGGATTTGGGAATGGTTCTGTGGGGGCTTTGATGCTGCCAGGGATGGGGGGGAGTGTTTCTGCTCTGGTGTGCATCTCCTTGCATTGGTACACTGCTGAAAGCATCCTGATAACACACAAAAGGCAGGAGGCATGAGGCAGAGGATGGAAAACAGGGATATTCGGAGGGCAGGCTGGTCATGCATGTCCTCTTCAGTTTCCCCAGTGGAGCCCAGGCCCGCGTTGTCCTGTGTGTGAAGACAATCAGCCTCATTGCCTTGATCTGCCTGCGGATTGGGCAGGAGATGGTGCAGCAGCACCTGAGTGACACAGTGAGGAACTTCTTTGGGGCATTCTCGCTGCTGCAGGAGCTGCAGGACCAGGTCAGTGGTGTGGGAGAAGTCCTCCTGCACTTCCCCAGATGCAGGAATGTGATGGGCCTACCTGGCTGTGTTTGTGTGGTAAGAGCATCTCATCTTGAGATTTCTCTGACCTTGTTTTTCTTGTCCAGGGGTTGACAGCAGAGTCACTGAGCAGCTGTGAGGTGTCAGTGATGGAGGTGCCCCTTTCAGACGGGAAGCTGCTGGCCCTGGATCCATCCGTGCTGGTGGAGTTACAGAAGGTGTTCAACCCTGAAATGGCCTACATCACCTACATCCCCTTCTCCTGCTTGCTGGGTACGCCTTGGCCACCAGCTCCAGGGATCTGTGAGGGAGCTCCGTGCTCTGGGCATGCATGCTGGGTCTGAACAGCTCACAGGGCTGCACCCACAGCTGCTACAGCATGGCTTGGGCTGATTCTTGGGTTGGGAACCCTCTGGACTTCACTTTCCTTGGCTGGGAGCAGATGTAGCTGACTTGGGGGATGCTGTGTCCACATCCCTGTGTATGGAGGGGGATGATGATGATGATGAGGACATTGCTTCCCTTGCAGCCACGTTGTCTCTGTCTCCTCAGGTGACGTTATCCGCACGGTTGTGCCCAACCACTCTCTGGTTGAGAAGCTGGCCAGCCTCCACCTGGAGAACGTGAACCCCCAGAACCTGCAGGACGTTGGCCTGGAGCAAACACCGAGCGTGGTGGGCTCAGACCAAGACCCTCGAGGGGCTGAGCCCTTCTCCAGCCCCCAGGAGGACACTCACTCTGGCACTTTTGGGAGTGTCCTGGTGGGGAACCGCATCCAGGTGCCCGTGGACACGCAGCGGGAGGGTCTTGGCTTGCTCCACCTCAGTGCTGGCACCGATGGATTCGCTCCCAGCTCATCCAGCGGGGAGAGTGCCCTGAAGCACGACCTGCCCCGCAGCACCCACATGCTGTGTGGGAACTGGCTGGCCTACTGGCAGTACGAGATCGGGGTGAGCCAGCACGACCCTCGCTTCCACTTCCACCAGATCAAGCTGCAGAGTTTCTCAGGGCATTCTGGGGCCATCAAGTGCGTGGCACCCCTGGGCAGCGAGGATTTCTTCCTGAGTGGCAGCAAGGACAAGACGGTGCGGCTTTGGCCGCTGTACAACTACGGGGATGGCACCAGCGAGGTGCCGCCGCGCTTCACCTACGCCGAGCACAAGAAGTCTGTGTTCTACGTGAGCCAGCTGGAGGCACCGCAGCACGTGGTGAGCTGTGATGGCACCGTGCACATCTGGGACCAGTTCACGGGTAAGGAGGGAAAGGGTGAGGAACTGGAGTGAACTGGTCCAGCCCTTACAGGCGGGGGCTGTGCTGAGTTTGGATGGCTCTTGTTAAAACCCAGCACAGAGCTGGAGATTTGCTTTGTGACTTGTCCTGCCGTAATATCTGTCATCTTTTCACAGGCAAGCTTCTGCGGACCTTTGATGAGTTGGACAGCAAAGTCCCCATCACAGCTGTGACCACCATGCCACCTCCCTACCACAGCATCTCTGTGGCCAGTGCAGACTCTGTGCTGAGGTTCATCGACCACAGGAAGCCAGGACTACAGGTAGGGATGTGATGCTGTGAGTCACCTTCCTCCAGCCCTGTGCTTAATGATGGGATCACAGCTGGCCCAAAGCCCAGATCCCAAAGCCAGCTGTGATGGCTCCATGGAAACCAGCTTGTCCCTTAAATGCCAGCTCCCCTGAGCTTCACCCCCCAGCTGGACTGTCTGTGTTGCAGCACGAGTTCCGCCTGGCCAGCGGCGTGAGCGCGGGGCTCATCCGCTGCCTGGCCGTGAGCCCGAGCGGCCGCAGCGTCATGGCCGGCTTCTCCTCCGGCTTCATCGTGCTGCTGGACACCAGGACGGGGCTCATCATGCGGGGCTGGCCTGCCCACGAGGGAGACATCCTGCAGATCAAGGTGAGAGGCTCAGCTGGGGTCATGGTGGGGCCTCATTGATGCTCTGAGGCTGTGTGGAGCGTCCTTCCTTCAGAGCTTGTGTGCTCCATCCCTAAGCGGCTGCCCAAGCTCTCCTGCCCCGTGGTTAGTGCTGCTGCCAGCTGTTCTTGGTCCAGCTCATGCTGCCAGAGTTCAGCCCTCCTGGGCTGCAGCAGGGGCAGGGAGGAGTCGTGGCTCCTATGAAGGAGCAAATGTGTTCTTTCTCCACGGGGCTCTGGGCTTCCCTGGGAGAGTGTTGCTCTAATGAGTAACTCTTGTCCATATTTACCCACCCCAGGGAACAGTGCTGGGTCTCCAGTGTCCTCGACCCAAGTGTGGGTTAAACAAAGTTCAGCAGTGTGGGTTGTTTACCCTCTCACTAGCTCTGCTAATAAGCAGCTCCAGGCTTCTCCTACCCTCAACAGTATTTTCAACTGTGAGAAAACCTCCCAATTCCTTCTCCTGAGAAGGAAAATAGTTTAGCGGGTGATTAAGTGGAGAGGGAGACTGCATAGTAATCCCTGTACACACTGCAGTGGTAACAGATGATGTATGAGTTGTGTTGGGTGTCAGGGTGTTTTTGAGAAGATGCCCACTCCATCTCTTGGAGGAGATTGCCAGCTACCAGAGCATCCTTTACCTTGCAGTGTCCACCCCAGGCCTTGCTCAGTACCATCAGCTGCTTGGAAATGGCTCTGACTGTCCTGAGGGATTGCACTGTGACCATTGCATCACTGGCAGCCACCTGCTGCTCTCATTTGCAGCACCAGATTGTGAGTTTTTACAGAAATGTCTGTTCACTGGCCTTTCCTCTCCTGCAGGCTGCAGAGGGCAATGTGCTGATCAGCTCTTCTTCAGATCATTCCCTGACTGTCTGGAAGGAGCTGGAGCAGAAACCTTTGCACCACTACAAATCTGCCTCCGAGCCCATCCACGCGTTCGACCTCTACGGTAACGAAGTGGTCACTGGCACTGTGGCCAACAAGATCGGGGTCTACTCCATGCTGGAGTCCTCAGCGCTGCCCACCAGCACGACCAAGCTGAGCTCAGAGAACTTCCGGGGTACATTGACCAGCCTGGCAGTGCTGCCCACAAAGTGCCACCTCCTGCTGGGCTCGGACAACGGCATCATCCGGCTCCTGGCGTAGCGACCCCGGCCTGGCAGCCTGTGGCTGTCCCTGGAGCTGGAAGCCAGCAGCGTGGCTTTTGGAGGAGGCAGAGTCAGATGTTTTTGAGCAGAGGATGCAGAGGGAGGTGTATTTGTTACGTCTCTAAGCTCTTTCTGTATCTTGAAAAAGAAAAAAAAAAAAAGCCATAACTGAGAAACCTCCGCTGCTGCTGGGAGAGATATTGGGCGTTGTAGGTCACTGTCACCCCTGCAGAGAGGCCTGGAGCTTTCCTTACCGTGTGTGCCTGATCCCCAGGGGACTGTGAGCTGCCCTCCACTGTAATAGGGACCACAGGTACCCTCCCCCTTCAGTTAAGGGGTGAGAGGTGCCCCTTGACAAAACACAACAGTTTAGCTGCTGCCACTTGCACTTCCCTTTCCCTTCCTCTGCTGAACCACTGAACAGCCCCACTGGATGGCAGAAGCTGGGGCTGGGAACTGCTGCCTTTGGAGCTGCATCTCCTCCTCCCATGGCTGGTGCTCTGTGAACTTCAGGTTCTGGCAGCTGAGTTAGAGCCTGCATGGGAGGAGGAGAGGCTCACCAGAGCCCTTCTGCTGCCGTGCTGGCTCCAGGGCAAGGACTGGAATGGAAGCCAGCCAAGGCACAAACCCCATCTGCCCTGCCAGTTCCTGTCAGAGTGGGCTGCTGCAGAGGGGCAGGTGGGCTGGGAATGTGACTCTCTAAGGAGGCCAGAACTAGATGCTTCCATGGGGATTTTGGCTTCTGGAGCAGTGGGGTAGGGCTGTTGTTGGTTCCTGCCCCAGCATCCCATGATGATGTAAGGGGTGAGGAATGCCATGTGTGCTATGCACTGGCATTGATCCTCAGTAAATCCTAATCCTCTCCTCTGTGCTGGTCAGGCTCCTGGGGAAGACAGGACAGCAAAAAGGTGCTCAGTTTTGTGCCCTCCTGCCCTTGTAGGGTGAGAGGCAGGAGGCAAGAACCCAGCATGGCCTCTCTTTGACCTTTCCTTTGGGACAGCACTGTCTGTTCCCACCCCAAAGGCACAGAGGCTGCTCTTTGCCCCAGCAGTAGGAGCAGTTTCCTCCCTTCTGTGTCAGCCCTTTTCCCGTCCATCCTTCAGCCTAGCCAGAGCCAGTATCAGGGGAGTGGGAAGCTCTTGGGCAGAGGAGGAGCCTGCTGTGGGTTGTCCTGGGAGGGGAAAGGGCTTCCATGCAGCTGCCACCTGCAGGGAGCTGGGGAGGTGAGTGGCTGGCCAGTGCTGCCCTTCCCTACCCAAGGGGAGCTCTCAGTCCCGTGTTGCCTATTAAGCATTTGCAATAGATGTAAATATTTACTTCTAATATACTCTTTGAAAGAACTGCAGAGCTCTGTGTGTGTGTGTAAGCTCTGTGCTGGAGGGGCTGGGTGTGCTGGCTGCAGCTCTCCTGCTGCTCAGCCCAAGTGACACCTCGTCCTTCAGGCTCCTCGAGTGTTCTGGGGAGCCCTGGATGTAGGACAGGACTCTGCTGCACAGGATTTGCTTTCCAAGGGGAAGTAGCTCCCAAATGTGGTTGGAGAGCTCAGATCTGTCACCCACTGTCTGGGTGAGCTTGGGAACCAAGAGTTGCTGCAAGGAATGGAGTGGAAGATGCTGTGTTGGTGTTCTCTGCTGGCCCGTGACTCCTCTCCCCCCAGGACACAGGCAGAGGCAGGAAGGATCACCACCACTTCTGATACAGCACAAATCCACCCAGGGCAGCTCTGCTGGAGTTCTGCCCATCCCCAGGACTTTTCCTCCGTGCCCCAGCAGTGTGTGCATGCCCTGGGCACGGGGACCAGCTGCCCTGGGAGAGCTCTGGAGCGTGCTGTGCCCCAGGGGAGGGAGCAGCTGCTCTTGGCTCAGCCCAGCCTGGCCATCAGAGCCTGCTGTGTGCAGCCACAGCACCCTGGGCACCTGCCCTGCTAAACCAGTGCCTCACACTGGGTGCAGCAGCTGGGACTCCCGGAGGGAAGAGCTGGGGGTTTCAGCAAAGAAAATTCCCAAACCAGACAGCCCTGTGGCAATAAACACTGAACACTGCATTTTCGCTGAAGTTTATGAATAAAAGAGAATATTTCTAGCACGGGGAGTGTATGCAGAGTGGAGCCACTTGTAAATTACTTCTGCTGTGGGAGTTTTGGGATCTGGTAAACTCGGTGTTAAGGTTGTCCTGAAGGTAGAGCAGCCCAAAAAGTGTGTCCCCATCTCCAAATGCACCACAGATTCACTCTTCTCCCCCAAACAAATGTTTAACCGGATGCTGTAGGTCAATATTTGCCTGCCAAATTCCCAAACAGGGGGTGGTGCTGAAGGTTGCTGCTGGGAGGGGGGGCTGGACTAGAGCTGTGTGTGCCCCAGGCAGAGCTGCTGGACAGGCTGAAGCAGGTGCCAGCTCCAACGTGGACATGAACAACCTCAGGTAAGGCACAAATCAAAGGATTTGACAGAAGTGAGGGCTCCTGCGATGGCCCTCTGGGAGAAAGGGGGGAATTTGGCAGAGGGTTAAAGGATGGGCACCACCAGGGAGGAAAAGGGGTATTGGGGGTTGTATGTGACTGCAGGATTTGGGGTGAAGGAAGGCGAGGAGTGAGCTGGCCTCAAGTTATCTTCTGCCAGTGGGATCTCAGCCCAGCAGTTCTGGGAGAAGTAAGGACTGCTTGGAGAGTGGAAAGCAGCCCCAGGAATTAAATCTGGATGCCATGCAGGGGCAGGGCTTGGAGGTTTTCTGAGAAGGAGAAGGTATTTTATTTCTGTCTGAAAGGGAAAAGTGGCTGGGTGAATCGTTGGCCAGGGAAGGGGTGGGGTTTTGTCCATGACCCTGGAAGCCCTGTCCCACACTGGAAGTGGAGCACAGAGGAAAGAGAGGCTGGGTTTGCCAGCAAAGGGGGAAGATGAGTGCTGGGAAGGGGACTCCTCCCCCTTCCAGGACATAATGCCGGGAAACTGCTCTGGTATTGCACTTGGTACCTGCAAATTCCCTCCCGGGCAGCGCTTGCTGAGCACCTGCAGGTCAGTAGCCCTTCTCCCAAGAGCCTGGGGCACAGCTGAGGATGCTGTGCCTGTATCCTGCTGGTTTCCATGGGAAAGGAGCAGAAAGGCTCTTGTCTCCTTCCAGAAGCACGGTGTGTGCAGCACTGATTAGGGAAATACCATTTGCAATCCAGAGAAACCAGGGCAGCAGGGTCAGAGAGGCAGGATCCAAGCACAGCCTGGCTGTGGCTGCAGCTCTGCTGTGGGCCCCTGCTCCTCTCTGATTTCCCTGCCTTGGCACCAGACCCAGGAGCCCTGTGTTGTTTCTCTGCAGCATTGTTCATCTCCCTTTTGCTTTCCACGAGCTCCTGTGCCAACCTGTTTGGCCAGGTTGATAATTTTCTCCCTGTAGACCTGAACAGGCTGAGCTTGCAGCTGGAAATAACTCCTCTCTCGGCTGGTCCTTGTGTTCCAGGAAAATGGGGTTCCTCTGGGGGCTGCTCTGCCTGGCTGCTCTGCACAGCCTCCCAAGGGTAAGTTGCTAGTCCAGCAAAGAGCAAGGGAAGTGTGGTGGCTCCCTGAGCCAGACCATGGGGCAAATACCACCCAGAAAAGCCCTGGAAGGCAGATTGATGGAGGATACTGCTGGGGGGGGGGTCACCAGCAAGGTTTCTAATGTTTTACCCAGCTAAAATAGTTGTGGATGTTCTTATTATTCATATTTCTGTAGAAATTTTTCTTTTGGAACTTGACCTCAACTGTATTTGGTGACCATGACCTTCAGGAGTTAACAGGAACTTTTAGAAAAGCAGGTTTTTCCTCCCCCCCCACTTTTAAATCTGGATCCCTGTCAGAACTGAGATTGCAAAACCCCACTGCTCACTCTCAAAAGGATCCATTATTTTGTGCCAGACTGGCCTGATCCCTTTCTAAACAAATCCAGTGTTTGCAGTGTCTCCCAGCTGCTCCTCACTTCCACCTCCCCATGTCAGACCCTGCCACCCCTGGGTCTGCATCCCAAAATCCTGCCCATGCTGGTGCCTTGTGGGGACTGCTACAGCCAGAATTGCAGTGGGAGCAGGGAAGACACACTCTGGAAATTCAGAGGGACCCGACTTTGTTTGTTTGTTGATTTTTTTCCCCACAGCTGGCACATGCCACTGACCAGCAGCGTCTCTTCCTGGACAAAGATGGGAAGTTGAGGGTAAGCACTGACAGGTTCCACCCCAGGGGGCTGAAGTTGTGCTGTGGGATTTGCAGTTTTTCCTGAGAAGGGATGAGCCCAGGCAGTGCCAGTGCCAGGAGAAAGTCCATCTTTCTGCAGGCTTTACTCCCAGCTGCTGCCAATGCTGTGCTCCTTCAGGTTGGAAGCTCCACCCTAAAAAATTGAGCAGAGCATGGAGTTAACATCAGTATGGTGTGTACAGGGCTGGCAGGTGGATGATTTAACTTCTGATTGATAAGGAAAGGTGAGGGAAACCACCAGCTGTGAGGATGACAGGGAGCCTGGGATGTTTCAGATCATGCAAATGTGAGGCAGTACTAAAGGCTAAAGCTTAGAAGAGTGGAAAATGAGGAAATGTAGAGAGAAGAAGGATGGAATAGAACACACAGGTCAAGAAAACAGAGATGCCTAGAGGAGGAATTGAGCCAAACTGGATCAGGGCTGTGACAGCAGCAGAAGGGGTGTCCAGTGTGAGGCAGGTGGGCACTGCTGAAATGTGTGAGGGGAGGAGATGAAATCAAGGCTGAAGATGATGGATCTGTAAATGCTGAAGGCACAGGACATGTGCTGAGCTGGTGGTGAGTCTTGCCCTCAAGCTTTCCTGAGAGCAAGTAGAGGAAGAACCACTGCCAGACCCTCACTGGCTCAATTTTCACAAGATACAAGACCTCTTTTCCAAATCATTATCCTCAGGGTTAAAGGGAAACTGAAGCAAAACCACCACCAGAGCAGAGCAGTCCAGCTCTGCCCGGTTTTCTGAGCCCATTTAGGTGTGCAGTGAAAGCCCACGAGGGTGTCACTGTGCTCTTGCTTTCCCAGTGCTATCCTTGTTTCTCCCCAGGACTTGAAAATTGCTGGAATTGCACAGTCGGATTTGCCGGGAGCCATCCCAGCCCTGCCAGAGGGAAAGATGGTAGAATTTAGTTATGACAGCTTCCAGGAGAAGGATGGACCCATGTCAGAATTCCCCACCAGCCTGTCAGACACGAGGGATGACTGGAACTCAGAAGATGAAGCCGTAGCTGGGGCTGGGGGCTGTCCTGGGAAGAACTCACCTGGGGAAAATGCCTCTTCTGAAGAGGAAGGAGAGGCTGGAGATAAAAGCTGTGAGATGACTTGGAAGAAGAGCCAGAGGCTGGCAGATGGCTTGATGAGATTCAGCATTGATCTCCTGAGAGAGGTGCAGCTGGAGTCCAACAGAACCAACGTGATCCTGTCCCCCCTCAGCATCGCCCTCGCCTTGTCTCACCTGGCTCTGGGTAATTCTTAGTGGCAAAACCACCATTCCCTGCCCTTCCCCATCTCCTTTCCCAGAGGCATGAGCAACCAGATGCAAATGAAATACAGTCCCTTCCACTTATCCTTGCTCCTGCAGCTTTAATTAGGCATGATTACAACTGAAGCTGCCCTCTGAGGCTCCGACTCTCAGATTTCTCCAGCCTCTTTTGTGAGGCACAGCGTGTTTCTAACAAGAGGCAGCCAGAGTAACATCCCTGTTTTCCACTCCGTGGGCATGACACCTAACAGGAATTTGATTTTTAGGAGCAGCAAATCAGACAGAGAAGCATTTGCTGGAGGTGATGCACCTGGAGTCAGTGCCCTGCCTCCACCACATGCTGGGCACCCTTCGCAGGAGGCTCACAGAGTCCACCCTCAGCCTTGGCTCACGTCTGTACCTGCAGAAAGGTGAGAGGTGGCCCAGGGGGGCTGGACTGGTGTAGGACAAACCTCCCAGTCACAGAGAGGGATGGAAGCACCCTGGAGACATCAATTTCCCCTATTTCCTCCTCTTGGGGAGTGTCATATGACACTGAGCAAACCTTTTCCATCATTCCTCCCCTTTGCCAGGGTTTGAGGTGAAAGAGAAGTTCCTGGAGGATTCAGAGAAATTCTATGGAGCAAAGCCCAAGACCCTTTCTGGGATCAATCAGGACGACCTCATGGCCATAAACAACTGGGTAAAGGATGTCACTCATGGGCAAATTCCCTCTTTCCTCCAGCAGCTCCCTCAAGACACAGTGATGCTCCTGCTCAATGCCATCTATTTCCACGGTGAGCTCCACAGGCCTTCCTTATTTTTTCAAGAGGAAATAGCTAGAACTCCAGTTTTCTGCAAGCCCTGTAGCTGAACAGCCTCTCCTCTCCTCACTTCCTGCTAGGCAATCTGCTTGTTCTTGTGCATCTGCTGTTCCTCTTGCTTAGATTTCTTTACAGTAATAATTCCCAACTGCTTCACATGTGCTAAAAATGTTACTTGACAGCAGAGCCAGGACACAGCAGGTGGGACCTGCAGTATCTTTGCCTCCTGGTTCAGGATCCCAGGCAGTGGCACATCCCTGCTCATCTACTCAGTGATCTTAAAGGTCTTTTCTAACCTAAATGATGAACCAGGTCGTTTGCAGCTCACTGCACACCCACCACAGAGCTCAGAGGCAGCTTCTGTGGATTTCTCTCTGACTACAGCACAGTGGTCGGCCACATCTTCCTTTTTTAATTCCCTGAGGGCTGTGCACAGACCAAACACTTCCAGTGTAAATCTACAAACGTTTTACCTTGGTCTTGGAGCAGTGTTTCCCCCTCTGCAGCACAGAGGCAATACTCCCCATTTTTCAAAGCACAAACATAGTTTCTTTTATCTCCATAGCCTTCAGTAGTCTCCCACGCTGAGGCATGAGGATTAATCCATGTTCTTTTTTGTTATCCCATAGTTTCTCTCGGGATGATAAGAGTTTCCTGCTGTTAGGGCTCTTCCAGCCTTGGTACTGACTTCTCTTTGCTGTATTTTCATTTCCCTGGTCACTATTGGCCTTGTTAGAGAACTCAAGATATGAGGAGTGTCAGCTCAGCAGTTTCTGGTTTTCTACTCAAATTTACCTTCAACACTTTCAAAACCTTTATTTTTACAGGGTTTTGGAGGAATAAGTTTAATGCAAGCTTCACTGGGCCAGATGTGTTCCACCTTGACAACGAGTTTGTGGTCCCAGTTGAGATGATGAAAGCCCACCAGTACCCCCTGAGCTGGTTTACTCTGGAGTCCCAGGATATTCAGGTAGAGATCTCTCAGGAGTACAGCAAATTTTCACTGGAATTTCCTCTTGCTCTGGTATTTTACTAACTGCAAGCATTCCCTTCAAAAAACCAAATGTTTTTTTTAACAGGCATAGCACACAAAAATTTAATAATCATTCTTTGTCCTTGCTTCCAGCAAGAATGTTGAAACTTCACTTTTAATCTCTAGGAAAAACCAAAAAGAGATATTCTGACTAACTGGGAATTAATAGAATTTTAAAGCTCTGAGTTAAAGATAAATGAGGAAATATGGAAAGGAATTCCCTCAGACAATGTGCTGTTGGAGTTTTTCAGAGTCCAGAGTGGGGCAAGCTTGTGGGCTTTCACTCTGCCATGTGCTCAACTTTACCAGCCAGTGGCTAATCCTAAAATCTAAAGCTAAATTCTCCTCTGGAGAAATCAGACCCCTCCTTCTCACCAGGCTGTTTTCATCTGGGAGCAAGAGTGGCCCTGTAGACCAATTAGAAAAATACTAAATTAAAAGCATCACTTTGTAGACTTCCCTTCCTTTTCCCTGAATTCTTCTCTGGTTGGTTTTATTTCCAGGTGGCCAAGTTTCCCTTTAAGAGTAATGTGAGTTTTGTGGTCATTGTACCAAACCACAACACCCAGAACACCTCTCACGTGCTGGAGAACTTCCCTTACAAACAACTGTGCAGGCTTTTCCCCAGAGAGGTGCCCACCACAGTCAAGATCCCCAAAATAAAGTTGGACTACCAGCTGGAACTCAACCAGGTTCTCAGCCAAATGGGTAAGGCCTCTGGCAGGGTTTGCACAGAACAAGAGGAGCTGATCAATCTGTTCGCTGACACCAAAAGCTGCCACCCTTGTTTCTAAAGCTGTGCCTCACAGCTTGCTCCAGAACTCCAAACTCTCTCAGCTCTTCTTCCTCTCCTCCTCCTTACTCCTTGCTTGCCTGGCACCAAATGTTTTGCTCCAACTAGATGATACTACAGAGAATTCACAGCTTCTCACAGTCTTTACGAGATCTTCCTATTGTAGCCAAGACCAACTTCCCCTGTGCATCAATCTCAGTCTCTTTGTCATTTAATTCAGTGTCCAGGACATGGAAATTGCCAACAGAGAAAATGCAGATCACAAAACCTGGAGCTGAAATAAAACATTGGGTTCTGCCTTTCCAGATGAGAATAATTTAAGAGTTCACTTTGTTTTGCAAAGAATTGCTTTAAAAAATAATTTCTGTTGAAGTGTTTCCAGCCTAGCTAGAAAGAGTCTTCAGACTTGCTGCTGCTTTTTAAGGATGACTTCAAGTTCTTACACTACTATTCTTAAAGAGGTGGAATTTTTGTTTCTCTTGCCTGTCAGTTCTCCAGCCCTCCATGGTGGGCAGCACATGGAGCAACAGATCAGGGAACTGCTTTCTTCAGACAGCTTTGAGAAAACTCAGAACTCATGGCACCAACTTGGTCTCGTTTCTCTGCAGGCCTCCAGGAGCTGTTCACGAGCCCAAATCTCCAGAAGATCACAGAGAAGCCTCTCTTTGTGTCCAGTGTACAGCACCAGGCCACCCTGGAGCTTAAAGAAGATGGGGTGGAAGCATCTGCTGCCACCAGTGTCGTGCTGTCACGCTCAGTCTCTGCCTTCAGCATCGACAGGCCCTTCCTCTTCATCATCTTCGAGGATGAAACAGGGATCCCACTTTTTATTGGCAGTGTCCAGAACCCCAACCCAGATGCTGCTCCCCAGATCCGAGAGCCACAGGACTCACGTGAAGCCACAGAGGCCAACAAGCACCGCGTGCCCAAATAGCAGAGGGCAGAGCTGAGTGTTCTGGGACTCCTGCCTGACCCTCTGGACCAGCTGGGAGAGGCCTCCTGCTCCTCTGAGGCCACAGGGGGCAATTCCTTGCTGTTTTCTTTTCCAGATCCCTAGAGACCAGTCCTGGGATAGCCCATTCCAGCCCTGACGAGCTTCTCCAGGCTGAGGCTCCCCTCTGTTGAACTTGAAAAGCTTGTTCTGCCTGGATTTCCCTTCCAGGGCTCTCAGTCATGGAAGGGAGACTTTTTTGTCCCCAGACTGCTATTAGAGTCTTCATTAAGATCTTATTAGAGTCCCCTGTAGCCTGGAATCATCATTAGCATCTGGCAGCTTGGACATCAGCCAGGGCTGTATTAATGTGGCTCTTCCTTCCGCAGTTCCTGGGAACACGAATCCCTCCGTGTTCCTCTGAAAACCATCTGTGCCCACCTAGACAACGACCTCCAGAGCAACTGGACTAGAAACCAGTTGTCTTCTCTAGGATGAGTCACAGCCACTTCCAGGCAGGGGTTCTTTTCAAAGATTCCCTTTTCCCACTCCTTGGCTATTTGGATCTGATGTAGGAGGCTCTGCTGTAGGAAACCCCTCCCTTTGGATCCTTCTCTCCAGCCCTTCTTCTAGAGGCTGGGTAATGTTAGATTTTGCAAGGCATATTTTATAAAGTGTTTTTTAGTAATTTTTATGTTGGCAGAATAATAAAGAATAAAGCAGAATATATTTGCTGAAGGTGTTGCATTGAAGGACCCAACAGCCAAAGGGAAAAGGGACAGAAGTTTAGTAATTGCAAAGATTGGGAGAAAAAAAGTCTGGGCATGACAGAAGAAAAGAAGGGAGGGGCTGTGGCAAAGGATCTGTTTTTTGTCACACCTTGTCACAGGAAACAGCAGGGGCTGGGAGGTGAAATGGCAAATCTGTAAAGACTCTCCAAGGGCCAAGTCCAACAAGTTTTGGGCATCTCCCCGGCAAGTGTTTAGGGGATGGATGCTCTCTGGGTCAAAGCTGGCTTTGTGAGATGGCAGAATTCCCTGAATTAGGGCATGAGCTCAGTGGCACAGGGTCAGGAGGGTGTTTGGCCTGTGAGCAGCAGTGCAGGGATAAGCAAAGATGTAACAGCCCTTAACCTTTCTCTCGGGTAAAACCTGACAACTGCTGGGATCTGCTCAGAGGGTCAAAGGTGCTGATCTGGCATCTGTTACCTCTGATTTGTTCTTCACTGGGGTACTCCTGGCTCCACAGTATCCATGCTGTGGATGGCTGGGACAGCTTCTAGGGAAAGGAGGAAAGATTTTGACACCTGTAGCTGAATGTCACTGCTTTTGTTTTGGCAAAAGACAATGTCCTGTTGTAACTCCCCTTTGGTCTGAGGTGGGCAGAGCCCATCACACCCCCTGAGGTGGGTCCTTGTTCCAGTGCAGCAGTGCCCTAAATGCCCATGAGGCCCTGGCAGATTGTCCAGAGAAGCTGCCCCATCCCTGGAAATGTCCAAGGACAGCTTGGACGAGGCTTGCAGCAACCTGGGATAATGGAAGGTGTCCCTGCCCATGGCAGGGGGGCTGAAACAAGGTGATCTTTAAGATTCCTTCCAAACTAAACCATTTTATGATTCTATCAACAAATTTTGGGGTTCCTCCACCCAACCAAGCCATCCTATCACTTAAAAATTATGGGCCTAACTCAGAGGTACTTCTGTACAAAACAACTCCTGTCCACAGTAATTTCTGCTTCCAAACCCCCTCAGCTGCTGGGTGGAAAGGATGGTGCTCTGTTCTTGCAGAGCAGCATTTAGAGAGCCCAAGGGCCATCCTTCTGGCAGTGTTTTCCTCTCTTGGGAAGGCTGCCTTCCCTCAAAGGAAGGAGCAGAATGCTTCTGGGAGCCTCCGTCCCTGAATAGTCTGCACCATCTGCTGGCATAAGAGCAGGACTGACTCACTAACCATGAATTTTGGGGATGCAGGCGACTTTGGGGAATAAAAAGTCCTGGCTCCAACCTCCAATTATGCATTTCTTCCAGTCTAAAAGGGGAAGAATGGCCCGAGATAATGCCTACCCCTCTAACCAATGTAATGACACAAACCCTTCAGAAAGAGGCTGTAATTACAGAGCCCTGCAATTTTAACAAGTAAACCCACAAGAATTCAGCCTTTCTTACGAGAGGGCACAGCTCTAGCCCACAGGGAACATTTTAGCTTATTTATTTATACAGATTCATTCCTAGCATTCAGAAATACCATTCCATGCCTTAGGTAAGTCTTCTTTGGCTACTGTAACCTCCCTGAATGCCACCCTGTTGCACTGCAACAGCTGCAAAATTTGAAGCTCAAGTTTTCCTTTTCACGCCTCTGCCCTCCAGCTCCCGCTTTTATAAAGTTTTTTCCCTTGTTCTCAGTTTCCTGAACAGCTTGGTTCTTATTTCCTATTTTCTGTCTTGCTGCCATCACTCCTCCTCCAAGCTATTCTTGTCAAACTATTAATTTCATCTTATTTGACAGTACAGCAGCCCTCCATGACTGTGCTTCGCTCAACAAATTATCAGTTACACCAACCATAAGACTCTTTTTCACTCCACTGACTTTCCAGAAGAGGCAGTTTGTAAAATGCAAAGTAATATTAATGTTTCTGCTCAGGAGTTTCCACTTTGCATTGCTAAAGCTTTCATTTTGACGGAGCTGTATTCTGAAAAGACATGACTAGCACAGGGTGTCTGCTCTATCCATCTGCACCACTGGCTCAGAATATCAAATAAGTCCCACTTTCTTTCATATTAGATGTATTTTTTTCCTTACCTAGAGCAAATTCATATCACCAGTAATTCCACAGTAGAGGTGAACCCTGTCAGAGAGCAAACTGAGACCAAACCAGAACAACAGTAAAATGTTTGTATTGATTTAATAAAACTGGTTTTGTTAGATGAGTTTAATGCACCATTTCAGGAATACCCTTCACCTACAGGAATAAAGTTGGCTTTGGTCTGTAATAACATTCTACGAAACTACCACTCTGATTTAAATGGTTTTAAAACCAAACCTGTATTTAAACAGATGGATTTTCATTTGAAGATAGAGACAAGACATAAAAACTTCTCTAGTAGTCCTTCCATAAAGGGCATTTTAACAGCACAAACAAGGTATCACAAAGAGATGAAAACCACCAGAAAACATCTCCACAGCCAACACCCCCATTCCTGGGCTAAGAATGGAAGAATAACAAGTACAATCTTTTCTCTGCAGATGATTTTGCACAGAGCAAGCTGAGAAGCAGCTGAAAGCAGAGCTGCTACCCCTCTGGTTAGGAGGGCTGGCCTTTGAAGCACTGACTAATCAGAGGGCACACCTGATTTGCTTTCCTGGCTTGCAAAACCAGCAGCTAATGCACCTCTGAGCCCATCCTTCCCCCTTTGCTGAGGGGCTGGATGAGCCCAGTGCTCACTGGGAGGAGCCCAAAGAGATGTCCCAGACTGGGGGCCCTGACACCACTGCCTTTGCAGCATTTCCAAACAGAAAACCAGCTGGATCTGGTTAGCTACGTGTCCAGTTAGCCCAGTGTCCTGCTCCTTCCAGTAACCATGGCTGAGGAAAAAAAAGAATGGCAAGGGTCAAGGAAAACCCACTGTTCCCTGGCTGTGTTGCCCAGCTGGCCATTGGTAGCCTTCAGGGGACCTTTGTTCCACTAATTTGGTTTGGGTTGGGTTTTTTACCTCAAATCTATTTTTATCGTTCCTCTTCTGCAATATCTAGTTATAATGAGTTTTACAATTTAATACTTGTTTAAAAACATATTCACTTGATTTAAATGTGCACGGGTGGGTGCTCCCCTTGAGCCTTCTGTGGAAAGTAATAATGGAACTCCTCTGTCCCTCTTCTTTCTCCATATCATTTATCATTCTGAGACCTTCTACAAGATTCTCTTAATTCATCTTCTTTTTTAACAAGTCCTTGGCTTTCCAGCCTTTCTTTTCAGCCAAAAAACTTTAAGTCAGTTAATGATTTCTTGTTAACTAGTAACTATCACTGGATACAAGCAGTTCCCAGCATCTTAACTGCCTCAAACAACAGAATTCTGTTTCCACAGTCTCTCCATTAAATCTTGGACATAAATCTATAAATCCATTAAACACTACTGCATTAACCATACCTCTGAGACAGAAGGAATTCCCTGATGTGACCTATGGCAGAACAACAGAAATAAAATACTTGCTCAAACAGGGCAGGGAGTGTTTGCCTTTCCTACCTGTGCTTTACCCACCAGGCTGCCCTTGGCACGGAGATTTGTTTTGGGGTGAAAAAAGGGTTGAAAAATTAGTGCAATTCAGGACGAGGGTGGCAGGGGCAGAAAATGGGAGCAGAGCACTTTAAGAGAGCCCTGGGAAGCTGTAACCTGAAGCCTGCCGAAGGCTGGGCTGGGGGAAGCAGCAAAAAGCAGATGTGGCTGCACCAAACCCGAACTGTCCTCGACTCACACCCGCTGGGAGCCCCGAGAGCAGCGGCCGAGAGGAGCCCCAGGTAAGGGACAGCTCAGGGACAGCTCAGGGACAGCTCACCTGTGCCACTGCCAGCGGCCAGGCGAGCACAGGCCAGGGGCTGAGGCTGGGCAGCTCTCACAGGACCTGGGAAATGGGAAGAATGGTTCTTCTGCAGGTGGGATTCCCACCAAGAGACCTCACCAAGGATCGGGAGCCACCAGCATCAGCTTTGCCCCCGGGGTTGGGCTGTGCTGGGGAATTGGGGTGGGTTTTCTGCCTTTCAAGCATCTGCCTTGCAGCTGGGCACATGTTCTTTGTTTGTGATGGTGTGACAGTCAAATCCTCTGGAGCTGGTGGCTGCAGGATGCTCCAGGAGCTGTGGAACAAGCAGAGCAAGCAGCCTGAACTCATGGGTCCTGTTTCACAGCACCTCTAAAGTCAGAAGTGTTTATAAATGATGTGAGAGACTTGTACCACTGTAGGTGGAAAGTAAAATATTTCATTTGCACCTGCAGGCCTTCACAAATCAACAACTCCCAGACAGAAAGTTCCTTCTCAGCTCATTTCTCAAGGTTTTCTTCCTGTACTTTTTGTCTGTAACATCACTCACTGTTGCTCCTTCTCTTCTCCTTCAAGGCAGCCACAGATTTTAATATCATGCCTGAAACCATCCCACCTCCGATCCAACCAAATTCTTTTCTCTGCATTTCTGGCTGTGTGCTAAGAGAAATACAAATAGAATCCAGATGTTCAGGCCAATTCAAACGCAAAAGGCTTTGTCTTTTTAAAATGGAAATTGCTTTTTGGCGAAGTCTGAGAAATATGAAGCTGGTGACAGTACTGGCAAAAACAATACAATCTGCAAAACCAATCTCTGCTCCCCTGCTCCCAGGAGCTCAGTGTAGCTGGAAGCAGAGGTTGTGTTGAGATTATTTTCTTTTTCTTCAGAGAAAAGGTTATGCTCCATGGAAAAGCTTCATCTCTAAGCTAGACTGGGCCAAACCTCTTCCTCTCAGCATGCAGGAGTGCAGTTTGGCACAGGCATCCTCACAGAGCCCTTGCTTAGCCTGTTAGACTTAGCCTCAAGCAGGACTTCTGGCATCTCTCTTCCAGCGTGGTGCCTGTCCACTGTAAATGTCTGGAACGACAGGAGCAATCCCAGCATCATATCCATTATCACACCATCAGATAGTAAATCCTCTTGATGCACATCTTCTGCACCAGAAACCTCACCCATTCTGCAGCTGGGACGGCAGCAGGCTGCAGGACACAAGTGCATGGGGGGAAAGAGGGTACCACTTCTGTGTTACACTGGCTGAACACAGATGAGAGCTTAAAACCTTCCCTGTGATGCTTTTTTCTCCAAGGGAGAGGTTCCTCCACAAGAAAAGGCAGGGAAGGGAAACAACAAACTGCCTCTCAGCCTGCCTGAATGGGGTCTTTAGCTGGGGCTGTTGTCGCCACGTGTATTTCTAGCAGCAGGCATGTTTTCTTTGTAGCTGAAGTTAATCTGAAACACATGTTCTTCTTCCTCTGATTTCTCTAGTTGCCTGGATGACAGGGGTTAGTTAAATACAACCCTCTTCCTTTAATTTCTGGGAATCTATCTAAACATTGCTTCAGGCCAGCCTCAGTGGCGTCTGTTCTCAGGGGCAGGATGCTTCAGTAGCTCTGGTTTACCCACAGCAAAGCCCTGGGTTACTCAGTGCCCTCTGGACCAGACAGATCTGTCTGGGAGGGCCACTCATCCCAGTACTGGAGTGATGAAAAGTGGATTCTACACAAGGAAGTTGGGGAGTTTGGTGGTTTTCTCCCACCTCCATTAAAAATGTCAAATAAGCCAAGCTCTGCCTTCCACTTCTTCAGGTTTCCTTACTGTCTTTTAAGAAACCTCTTCCATTTTACTTCATCAGATTGAATATAAGAAGCAAAGAATGGACACAGTTACATGTAGACACAAGAAACAGCAAACTACTGCCTGAGGCAGGTAATTTGTATATCAAACCAGTCAGTGTTGCCTTCTGCCCCATTCAACAATATGGATTTGGTACCTTTTATAAATGAAGCCTTGAATTTTTTTGAAGCCTAAGACTCAGAAGTAATGATTTGGTGCTTTTCTGGACCTTGGCACTCAGTAACTGCCAGCATCAGTGTGGTTTGGGCCACACACATCTGCTTTTGTGCTCAGGCACACCCACACCATGTGCTTGCCCAATTTTAAAGTCATTGGGGCCAGTCTGGCTGAATACTTCAAACTAGAGAAGGAAACCTGGCTCAGATCAGGTGTGTGCTTCACAACTGGAAGGA